AATATAAATTCTTTAGAAATAGACTTAGGTGAGGACTTCCGGTATGGCGGCAAGACGAGCGGCAGCGTAGAGTGAGAGCTCCCAGACAAACCGTGTTATACTCCCCCAAATTTAACTCATTATAATCTTTAAAATTGATAACTAAACATGGAGGGGGAGACTCAACGAAAGACTAGAAGCAAAGTATTTCAGAAACCCGAGAAAAATGAGAAACAAACGGTAGAAGATGAAGATAACGCCATCGAGCACGAGGAGGAGGATACCTTACAAACTAGTATCAGCGCTATATACGCTGAAATTAAGGCTATCCGATCGGACGTGAAAACGGAGTTGAACAATTTTCACCAGATTCTTTCTAGAGATATGAAAGCTGATTTGGTGAACTTCAGAACAGATTTCAATACGAAACTGAATGAAATTGCCGCAGATTTGAAAGATACAATGGGTAGACTGGAGGAGGCCGAACAGAGAGTGACGGATTTAGAAGAATGGAACACCGAAGCTAAAGAGGTGCTATGTCAAACCCTTGACATTCAACAAAGAATGCAGACAAAACTGACAGATCTCGAAGCAAGATCTCGTCGAAACAATATACGACTATACGGAATTCCTGAGGAGTCTGAAGGGGATAACATACAGGAGTTTATCGAAAGTTTCATTAAGGCGGAATTAGCACTCCCCGACACTGAACTTGGAATTCAGCGTTGTCATAGAGCGCTCGGTCCAAAACCACCGCCGAATGCTAATACCAGATCAAACCCAAAAGAAGAGGAAGGCATTCGCTCCGATACGGAAACTACTCAAAGAAAAGGGTCTTCGCTTTCAGACACCGCCTCCTGCTAAACTTCGCGTGTTTTTCGAAGATGGTCCAGTTGTTTACAACGACGCAGCGGAGGCGATGGATGATTTAAAGAAGAAAGGTCTGACAACGGCCAGTCTTAGAGACGATCGTACCACCGTATCGGCACCCATGAAAAGACTGAGCAAAATCTCTTGGGAAGCGGCAGGTGCACGGCCGAAACATAACCAAGAGACGCATCGAGAGAGCACGGAAAAGACTCCTGCACTGAAAAAAAGAACATGTTGGATTTACTTAATTCAATAGTGGACAGTGGTTGCACACAGATGTTTTGCTTTGGCAGCAACTTGAACAATTGAGTTAAATTAATACAAGTTATTCATATTCAATAAACCTGTGTGTTTTCTGTTGATACAGTGTGATTGAAACATGTTTTGTTAAAGTAATTTGAGCTTTTGGAACATTTTAATCCTTCTCGATTTTATCACTTTATTCCAACACTATTCAATAACTTTTCCTCCAATACTATTTGGTCACTTACACTGAAAAAAGAGAATTGTTGGACCAACTTCAAAAAAATTGCTTCAATTGGTAACAGACAAATGAATCAAGTTTTTTCAAATCAAGTTTAATGAACCCATTTGCTTTTAAGTACTGAATAATCTGATTACATTCAAATCAATAGTTTTTATTAATGGAAGTGAAATTTTAGACAAGTCAACTTAGTTTGCAGTTTTTACAACACAGTCATTAGCTTTATAGAAAAGTTAAATACTGCACCATAACAACCTATAGTATGATTTCAAGAAGTCTTTTTTGTATACTTGCATTTACTACATTAAATATATTTAAAATAACAATGAAATGCATTTACTAAAAAAATTATTACAATATTTTGTTTTCAGATTTTATTATGTACAACCATATAAATG